CACTCTCTGACTGTATACACACAGTATCTGTGGGAGGAAAATACATGTAAGATTCTTTACCTTTTTCTTCAGTGTGTGATGCAAACCACCAACTAGAGAAGGCTACTCTCAAAAAAAGAAAGAAATATCACGAATTGTAATAAAAAGTTCGTTTACCTTCAGCGTGGTTGGTAGGGGCTGCGGTCACAGAGATTTCTTGGCAGTCGCGTAACACATTGACGGGCAAACTTTCGGCATCTTCGAAGTTTAAGGACGTACTAGGCGTTGCAGAAGACCCTTCCGTGTCTGGTGCATCTAACGAAAGCAGTGAGAATATGTATCGATGTTGACAATGTGTACCATTTATCCCCCATGACCAACGCGTTAAATAAACCAAGCATAGTTATTTCGCGCTCACGTATATGACCTCACGTATACAAAATTTGAGTTAAAGGCGGAGATTAAATTTTATTTTTTAGCGCGACATACAAGCTCCATAAATAATGCATTGTTAGCCAAAATTTCAATCGATTAGATAAATCAATTTTATTCCGCGGGCACAACTGTTTTAACTGTTTTTTTTAGTTATCAGAAGAACAATGCTTTGCTAAACAATCAATTTCAGTAAAACTCATATATGTTAAGCGAGCCGTAACATGTGGCGCGACTTATGTCGCGACTAGTCTGGCTGTGTCGGCTTCGTATAAAATTAATTTTCCATAAAGAACTGTAAAACATTCAGTTTCACCCGCTTTACTGATTATGAAGACTTGAAATGAAACTTTAAGTCTCACAAAAATCTTAAAAATGCCTGGCTTATATAAAAAGTTAAATGTGACCAAATTTGTGTCGGCATAAAATTTATTTAATCGCCAGAGTCTGCCAGTTCATTCTCGAAACGGCGCCTCACGAAACCAAGCGTTGAATAAATAAAAGCATCCCTTATAAATCGCCTTGTTGACAATAAATAATTCAACCTAAGCGATACAATATTGTTTTCAAGCAATGTTTCATTCATAACATGCACCAATACTTATTTTCTGATGGACTGGGGGATTGTAAACAGGAACCCGGCGAACATTTGCATTTTAAAAAGTGTTTCATACCTGCAATCTCCTTTCTTTGCTGTTTGAACCCAAACTGGGTTAAAAGCGGCTGTGATTTCTGCCTTTTCATCCGGTGACTGGGACCGTTTTCTTAAAGAAAGCGCCAAGTACAAAGCTCTCACGAATTCACAAACAGATTCAAACACGCGATGTGGAGAAGAAGACGATTTCATAATTCGCTTACGCAAGAAAAAACTAGTCACGAAATAGCAGGATCAAATGTCGGTCTTTCGTGGGAAAACGCAAATGGTTTCCAGTCCAAGTTGAATGCTGTTGAATAAAAGAGTTACGATTTCTGATGCTGGAACGCGATCAGTGGGCAAGAACAAAATATGTTATCCTTAACTTTAACCCATAGGAATCGGAACTTTATGTTTTTTTAATTTTTTTTTTTAATTTTGACTTCCAAAAGTACCCGGCGCTAACGCTCGAAGTAGCCGGTGACTTGCGTCGGGCGCCGGTTACTTTTGAAAACACTGCTACCAAGTTGTTAATAATGTGGTTTTTGCTGATTCTTTCAACCTTTTTACGACACTAGCAAAAGAAAGACAGGATGGGTTACAAGGCAGTTCAATAAAAAATTGTTAACTTAGCTCTGAAAACTGAAAATGAGTTGTTATGGACAATTAATACCTGTAAAGATAAGTTTCTATTGAATTCATACTGACATGCATACCATGTCACAAAGTTATGATGTAATACTTTCCGAGAACAAAGCTTGAGGAAAACTGTGAGCTTTGAGGAACAGATAAATCCAGGGACAAATACATGAGCATATTTCTGTGCAAATTAGAGCCCATTGTTTTTATTATCCTTCAAATATTTTGAGATGCACCTGAAAATATGTTTATGAACAGCTTAGTGTTTGCTGCTGGTTTAATTGGGGACCTGTATAATCCAGGAGCTATGTTACCTACTCTTTGCAAAAAGGTTGTGGGTTTTTTTTAACATCCCATAAAGACCAGTATAGAGAAAATGTAGGAGATAAGATGATTAGAATGTCTAACCATACACACATGTCATGGCAAAGGCAACACATTCTCCATCATTATTTTAAGACCCTGAGTGCCCTACTCTGGGGCTCAAACCCTCAGCTTCCCCTACAGCAACCTGATTCTCTGCAACATGTGCTCACTGTTAAAATGTTAAAAAGTCCCTCAATCGAGATCTTCTACTGGGCACCCTACGGCACAACAACCCTTGACCAAGATGTGACTTGAATATTCCATCACCATGTTCTATGTGCAAACCACAGTCAGAATTAATATATAATTCCAGCCTTGATGTGAGTTGCAGAATGGTTAGATGTACTCACAGATGGAATATCACCAGTCGGGAGAAGTCCATTTACAGCAATGAACAAGCACAATGGATACCAGGCTGTCTAACTCCTTTAATTATTTAACCATTAAAACAATTCGAAAAAACTTTTACTCACAGTTGGACATTCATTGGAGCGATCCATCCATTGTGAATAACAAGCAGCACAGAATGAATGGATACATGGCTGTAAACTAAAGAAAGTCAGACATTCTGGTGAAAAGTTATCACAAGGCAGATATACCCCTTACTTATAAAAATCATATTTCTTTCAAATTTTATAACTTTGTCAAATCAATGTGTCTAAAATAGACTAATTATTATATTTTATAATAATTGACATTTATTAAAATGCATGTGTGCCAAGAAGATATTAAGCAAAGAACTTTATTCTGGGGTTGGAGCCTTCTAGCAAATAGGAAATCCATTAATTTTCTTAGTCAAGAGAGAAAAACACATTATGCTAATGCATGCATGTATTGATACTCTTACCTCACACAATCATGAAAGATGTTCTGAAAGAAAAAAAAGCAATAGTTAATCAACACATTCTAATATTTAGCATAAACACTAATAACTTCTTTCAATGGAATACCTCTTTCCAGTGTCATGAGGGAGGGGTCAACAACAATAAAAGTCTCTGATGAGGGGAGAACACTCAAAATGTCAGCTTTTAAACTCTTGACAGAGGCCAATTTACATTATCAACTCAGTTTATAATACCAAATTACCCTGTTACTCTCTCCCACCAACACAGCACCACAGTTTCTTTGGAAACCTACCCTCTTTATTTAACAATTAATATATATATTAGTTTAAGGAAGGGTCAAGAAAGGAACACTCAGTAAGGAAGACTGGTACAGAAGTAAAAATCTTCAGAAGTTGGCATATCTGCAAAACACTCAGCTGGCTACAAGAACAAAAACCTTTGCATGTGGAATGATAAAATCTTAATAACCTTACTTGGCATATACTACAAAGCAGAGTATCAGCAATGGAGTTATGAGGAAGAAGCTCAGGTTTTTTGCTACTGGAAGCTCCCTCTTCACTTTCTTGATGCTTCCTTTTTGACACAGGTCCTTCATCTGTATCTCCAGCCTTAAATGTACATTTTAGCTAACAGTTAACTGTAGGTACTTGTGCTTTCAGACTGTTCCTACATGCAGATGTAAAATAATTTGCTAGTGTATTAATTTTTACAAGGACAAAATGACAAAGCCTAAAACAATTTTTCAATAGTGGCCTTGAATAATGTGTTTGTCATTGATAGTGATTGTGGAGATTAATCAAAAACAGTAAATGTTTTTAAGTTGATAAAAGAGACATATATGGTGCAGTAATAATAATACTAAATATAATAATAATAATAATAATAATGACTATGAAAATAATAATGATAATAATAATAATAAAATAATATTAATAATAATAGTAATAATATTAATAATTACAATAATAATGCAAATAATATTAATCTTAGTTTACCTCACTATGAGACCTTTTTTGAGAAACAAACGCTGCCTCACTTGGTTTGACATCTTCGTCCTCACAAACATCTTCCTCTACAGATGTATAATGTCAAAAATGAATGAAGTCTAATGTACTCTATCTTTAACAAAAATATTTCTCGTTAGACAACCTGAGCAACACTGTTACTTACCTGTATCGTTGTCATACTCCAAAGTGTTATCTAGTAATTCTGCTTCTTCTTTCAAAACCTTTAAATCTTGAAAAACAAATGCTATATCTAGAAAAATAGAGACATATATGGACACTTAACCCTTTCAATCGCAAGATTTGATTGTTAATTTTCCCCTCAAGCTGCTTTACATTTCCTTAAAAATTGATTACAAGAATTTGGTGAAAGATCAAGAAAACAACTTCCACCTGATAAAATTGAGTATTCTCATTACCTGTTTTTTGGATAATGTACACCTGGATATCATATGGAAAGGTTTCATGTTACATGAATTTACCAATTTATTATCTATGCAGCAAAGCTACATGAGAGTCTTTTTTTGTATCTAGGAAAAAGCATTTACCACTTCCAGGGTGATCCTTTCGATGAACTATTTGTACTTGGTTATTGTGATTCATCTGTATTTTCTGTAAGAAAAACATCTCATTAATGGAAGACTAGGATTTGTAAAAAACAATAACAATAAACAAATGTACACACGTTAACTACATCATTACATTGAAGTGTCAAAATACATATTACTCAATGACAAGAAGCATAACCATAGAAAAACTGAAATTAGCCTAATTTGCACCAAGTAAGGTCCTCACAGAATAAGTAATCAAGGCTTGAATAGCAACTGAACCTTTGCTTCCAAGATGGGTATTACATATCACCTGAGTAGTGGCATAGAGGGTTCTTTGTTCCCAAAAATGGAAATTTAATACAGATAAAAACATTACCCACTGATATTCTAGGTATCTATGCTCAAAACTTTCAAGAAAAGCTGCTATAGCCAAATTGTGAAACCAAAACATAAGGTGGTAGAGCTTTCTCTGTATACACTCCAAAGATTTGGAACACTTCCCTTGGATTTATGAAAATCTAGTACAGCTTTATCATTAAAGATAACACTCAAGACCTTCCCTCTTACTAAATTTACTAAGAGTGATTCTTTATTACATTTTTAATTTATTGGATATCATTCTACTTTTAAGGTTTATAGCTAGTTTTATTATCTAAGTTTCTTAGAGTGAAGTTGTGGATTTAGAGATAATTTTGTAAAGCATCTCCAACAAGTAGTGGATGTGTGCAATATACAAATGAACTTTTATTATTATTGTTACATACAAGACACACAAGGAATAAACAAATCATAACTTGTAGAAATGGGCGGTTAATTAGATGACCTATTATGAAGCCCTGAGGCAATGATTCACCCAATTACAGACTTGAGGGAGACTTAAAATCCATAAGCTCCAAATTAAAAGTCCTGCACCCAAAACACTGAACCAAAATGTCCCATTTTAAATTTTTAACAGTTACATGGATACAGGACACAAAGTGATTTTAAAGTCATGAATTTTAATGTACTGATTACAAACTCTGGCAAAGCAATTCTCTACCAAGGTCTTAAAATTTGGAACTCTCTTCCTGTTTCAGTCACTTGTTTGTCAAAATCTTTTTAGCTTTACAACGAAATTGCAAGAGTTTTTACCACACATTTGCAGCACTTATTCCCTTTTTAACTATTGTGTTGTTAGTCAGGTGGCCCTCTCTCATAAGCCCAGTGGCTACCTGGGTCTCCTCACTTTCTATAAATTATAATGCTGTAAAAAAAGGTTGTATTGTTAAAAAGGCAAATAAATAAATGATGATGAATTGATGATAATGATACTATCAGACTGAGTGTATGTAGAGGTTATGTATAAATCAGTTGGGTGTGTGGCTGCAGAGAGGGGTGAGGTGACAGGTTATTAATTCTGTTCAATTGATTAAACACAAAAGTAAGGGCTCCTGATTTCCAAGGTCTCTTCTCTTTCCTCTTTCTTGTTATATGCAGGAGGACAGAGAAAACAACAGAGGACAATATGTCAGCATCATGACCTCCCCTGTGGCAGAATTTACTACCAATAATTTAACTACCAATATAATGATATTCACCATAATTGATCTTCTTATTGGTTATGCACTCTTCTTTTAACCCTTTAACCCCTGAGAGAGACTAGCATATAACTTCTCCCAACAGTATAACCCCTGCATCACACAGTAAGGTCATGAGAATAAAGGAAATCATCACCAACTAAATATTCTCTTGATCGATAAACAAATTCTCCTTGTCAGCACCTTAAGAAATGTATAGAAAACAGTATGAAGAATATGCATACTGATGTTAGGGTGTAAAGGGTTAATACATGTACCTTCCAACTTATAGTAAAGCTATTTGAGATACCAAGTGAAATTTAATGGTTTTTGTTTACATGATTGATTATCGAACTGTTCATCATGATCTGTCTATTTCCCAGACTGTATGTACAATGAGTGGAAGCGCAGTGGCCTCATGGTTAGTCAACTCGACTCCAGATCAAGTGGTCCAGGTTTGAGCCCTGGCTGGGGTCATTGTGTTGTGTTCTTAGGCAAGACACTTTACTCTCATAGTGCTTCTCTTCACCAAGATGTACAAATGGGTACCAGCAAAATATACTGGGGGTAACCCTGTGATGGACTAGCATCCCATCCAGGGGGGAGTAGCAATACTCCTAGCTGCTTCATGCTAAAGGAAACCAAAGTTTAATGCCGGCCCCATGGGCCACTTGGGCCTGTATAAAGGCTTTACTTTATATGTACAGTATTTGTCTATCTCTTTATCTCTTTATAAATTTGAGTCACTTCCTGTAATTTTAAATTTTTCACACAGACTTCATTAAACTATTATTATATAATTACCTTCTCTTTGTCAATTTTCTTCCCATTCAACAATGATCCATTGGTACTAACAAGAAAACAAAAGCTGTAAGTTACTAACACAAGTTTTAACACATGCAATAGTGTATATAGATCATTGCTGTGAGAAGTTTGCATGGAATTAAAAGCAATTTACTGAGTCACCTAAAGTCTTGAAGCCAAACTGTGCCATCTGGATCTCTTGTAATAGTACAGTGATGACCAGATACAAATTTGCAGCCAGGAAAGCTGATATCACAATCTGTGAGATATAACATTAGATTCAGCTTTCTCTTGCAATGGGTGGGTACAGTGTATGTCATAGCTGTCACAGCTGATACTAACATTGAGTAGTTGTCAAGCAAAGTTGTAAATAGAGGTTCTGCAGTTTATGACGGCTATGACAGGAGCCTTCTCACAATGCAAACTATTTTCTACGTAAGATCTCTGTGTAGTCCCTTACTGTTCTTAAACAAAGGCTGAGCATTACTCTTAAAGTGAACTTTTGTTTCGTCACTGTTTCTTTCATCAAGAAACTGCATGCGTAAGGAAGTATGGAGTAAATTACAATGTTTATGAAAATCTTGCCATCTTTTGTTATAATTGCATTCGAACACTTTGATCGAATTAATTTATGAGAAATTTTTAATTGGTCATTTAGTTCACCATGATTGGAATGCTGGAGCTGAATATTGCTGTGTATTGAATAAACTCACATTCAACAAAACCAAACCAAAACATATTAAAAAGAAATCTTTTGGGTTTCATCGCCATTTTTCCCTTATTAAATACAAGTACGTATTCCATTTATCTCTAAGTCATCCTTGGAAAGTGATCTGCCTAAAGCTGCATGTTAACCATATAATAATTATACAGAATAAAGAACCTAACTAGCTGATCGATTTCCCGTGTATACATTATATTAAAGGGTGAAATAATCATCTTTGACATTCGATTGCCTTTTGTACCCTGTTCTCCTACCTTCTTTCCTGCCCAGTGTGATCTGCTCTCTATCAATAAGGACGGGAGGTTTGCTGTCATGGGTGAAAATAACTTGTGCCCAATGGAGACCTTCTTCAAATTTCGACGCCATCTTGTGTAAACTGATGTGAACGTGTGAACTAGGTTCGAGGCCGTGTCACGCTTTCTTTGAGAGTAATCTGGGACCGATCAAGAAGAACATGGCGGCCAACATGGCGATTTGTCACATTAAGAAGAATCTAACGGCATTGAGGCAATATCCTCGCGTAGCTTTGAACAACATAAGAGATTTACCTGAAGCATTCAAAGCGGTAGGTACTTTTCTATAGCTGGAAATAGAATCTTTTAGAATACTGTAGTATTACAAAATGATCAGACACGACATACTAGCCCACATGTCCGTCCTGGGTGAAATAAAAAGCACTTGCCGCTTCAAGAGTAGTATAGTACATATAGATGATCGATGGTACAATATTCGTGTAGCACCTCTGCGCAGCTTGCACCCTTAGGCAACATTTTCAAGACCTCTGTCAGAATGCTCTCTACATAGACTTCTCATGCAGCCACAAAATATCCAATTTTAATTAACCCCTTAATCCCAAAGAGTGACTAGCATCACAAACTAAGGTCACGAGAAAAAGAGAAACGATCACCAACCAAAGAAGCTCTTGATTGTTGGAAAATTTTCCGCGACAGCACCATTGGAAATATACGGAGAACACTATAAGAATTTGTATATTGAACTTAGGACGCATTACTAATTTCTCCTTTCTTGTACATGCAACATATTCAATCAAACAGCAACACCGTAAAGGACGTGGTAGAGGATCTGGACGTGGAAAGACTTCTGGACGTGGCCACAAAGGACAGGGTCAACGAAATACAAAACCTAGGCTTGGATTTGAAGGAGGCCAAACACCTCTTTATCTTCGTGTCCCAAAGCATGGCTTCAAAAACATGTACGTGTAAACATTATATATTTCCAAAATAGAGGTTAAATGATTTTTGGGAATTGCAGTGAGAGATTTTTTTGCTTAATTAAGCTTTTGATCCCCTAAGAGTGACTAGCATCTACTTTCTACAGTACATACAACATCACCCCTGAATTAAACAGAAAGGTCATGAGAATAAAGGAAATTATCAATAAACAAATTCTCCTTGTCAGCACCTTAGGAAATGTATAGGGAACAGTATTGAGAATATGCATACTGATGTTAGGGTGTATAGGGCTACAGAATTTGGTGATCTTCTACACAAAACGTCAGCAAGCAGAATTATTACTTCATCAACTCACAAAGATATGAGGGAAGTTCTCCTTTTATGTATTTTTTATCCGCATTGTAGCTTCCAAACAGCTGTGATATGGGTAGATGAGGTAACAAGAATTTCATAGAAAACCCTTCTTCTGATAATAGTGAATGATATAATTGAAAATCTAGCATTGTATAACATCAGATCTTTGAAAGATAGGCACAAAGAACAGTGTCATAAATTAACTCTTTAACTCAGTCATATCTAATACTGTGCCTAAACTCCATCATCTGCTACTACCCAAGAACATTCAATTTCATAGGTAGATACAGCTTAGAAACCAGAATAATTTTATGTTACCAAAAAATGTGCACTAATTGTTTCACAAGCACATTTATTCCATCCATGTCCAATTGCTACAATGTTTATACAAAGTTTTTTATATTCATTTTATACTACATGGAATTTTTATGTTATAACTTGAACTTTTTATAAATTTCATGCAATTCAGTCTTAAGAGGCTGCAAATTTTGAATATTTTATAACACTATCTACCTATCTATCTATCTACCAATCCATCAATCTGTCTATTTCAAGGTATATATCTAAATATTTATCTGTCTAGTATCTATATATCTCTTGATTACCAAAATGTTATTTACATCAAATCACAAGTAATAGGTGGAAAAATGACTTCACTGTATGCTTTGATATCATACTTTAAATGAGGGAGAATTTGTAATATTTCATTTATTTAATATCTATCTGTTAACCCTTTAACTCCCAGAAGTGATTAACCTGTAGCTTCTCCCTACAATATCCATACATTATTTAGCAAACAGCTGATGAGAATACTCAAACTTATCAGGTTAAGTTGTTATCTTGATCTAGCACCAAATTCTCATTACTAATTAACAAGGAAATGTGCAGCAGCTAGTAAACAGGCCCTAAAATAGGGGGAATTAGATATTTGACTAATTAACAAGGCACTTAATCGAAGTGCAGCAGCTAGTGACGGGGGGGAATTAGATATTTGAAATTAAAGTTAATTTATTGTCTTTGTCCAATTTTGACTTTCAGATACAAAATGCATTATAGACCTCTGAACTTAAACCGCCTTCAGTTCTTCATAGACAGTGGCCGTCTAAACCCCAATGCTCCCATCACCATGTATCATCTTTGGAGATCAGGAGTTACTGGAGGAAGAATAAAGGATGGGGTTGTATTGCTGGGAGGGGTAAGTAGTTCAGCTCTTCTACTTTTATGAAAATGATGCATTTTGATTGCAGCAGGATTAATAGAATTTTCTTTAGACAAGTGATGCCTTCCTATTTCCTATCTCAAGAATCTATTTCAATCTCCAAGAATTATAATTGGTACGTTTTTGACCAGGGCCGAGTTGTTCAAAGCTGGGTTAAGATAACTTGGGGTTAGAGTGAAATTTGATTTCAGATCTGAAAGCTTGAAGAGCAAATTCAGTTTATTTCTTTTTGACTACAATTTAATAATTGAATGCTCTAAAAACAATGGGTAAAATTATTCCAAAACGGCTTTTGAACAGAGAAATATAGAAACCTGGATTAAAATTCAACCCTAGGTTATCACTAATCAGCCTTTGAACAACTTGGCCCAGAGGAGGTAGCTTTAATTGAAGACTTAGCTTGTTCTTTTATCGAGTGCTCAAGGTCACGGTTTTTGCGGCGGTTCAGAAAAAGTGTTTCGCTGAAATTAATTCACTTTTGGTTCGGTAAGCCAATCTTAGGTATCTTTATGTGGAAACGAAATTCTCTACATTGCAATCATAAAACAAAACTTAATTTATCTTTTATCTAGGCAAAGATTATTTTGACCTTCAACCGTCATGGTTTGACACTCTATCCCAAAACGCTGGATGTCTTCAAGTTGAAAACGTTCCAGTTAAAGGAAAAGATCTTGAAGCCATGAAGAATGCTAAATCAAATTCAAAGGCCCCCACAGCTGAGCCAGCTAAAGGTATGAAGATGAAAAATTGTAAAATACCATTCTATATAAGAGATAGTCCACATCCATACAAAGTAGTGTATTCTGAAAGTGACAAACCCGTCTGGTATTAAGGTGAACTTCTTTTCCAAGATAGCTAGAGGCGTTACAAAACGAACACACATCCCTGCTTCCAGCTTTGTCTAAGCTCAAACTGTGACGATTTCTTCTGCATTAAAGACTCGTGACTTATTCAGTCAGATCAACCCTTTTTCGGAGGAGGTAATTTAATTAAAAAGAGTCAGCTTGCTTCCTTGCTCAAGATCACGGTTTATGCGGCGGTTTAGAAAAGTGTCTCGCTCAATTTAACTCACTTTGGTTTGGTAAGCTAAAAATCCCAGGTATCTTTATGCTTAAACGAAATTCTCAGCATTGCCATCATAACTAAAACAAAAATTGATTTATCTTTTATCTAGGCAAAGATTATTTTGACCTTCAACCATCATGGTTTGACACTCTATTGGGAAACGCTGGATATCTTGAAGTTACAAACGTTCCAGTCAAAGCGAATGATCTTGAGGCCATGAAGAATGTCGGATCAAATGTAAAGGCCTACACTGAGCCAGCTAAAGGTATGAATAAGAAAACTTGTGAAATACGATTGCACATATTTAGTTTTAGTGACGAACCAGTTAGACAATTAGAACTGTCAATGTACCTCTCAGCTTTGGTACTTTCGCAAAGTCCTCGCCCAATCTTTTTTTAACTGTCTGGGGAGTCCATATTCTTACCATCACCCATTAGATCCTATTCTGGCAAGCACTGTTTCCAATGGGAAAAAAAATAGTAACCTGTAAAATGCCTGTTATAAGCTCCCTGAGTTCAAACATTGTCGTAAGACCTTGTAAGGTGTTGGCCAGTAAGACAATATACGGAAGTAGGTGTAGTGCTGTTCAGTAAATCAAATGCCAAAAATAAACCTGTCAATAATTAGCATTGTGTTAACTGTAGTACTACCTTTTCTTTCGTTTGACTCAAAATCGTAACATTGACTCGGATTATCTTTGTTATTCAACAGATCATCGTCAATGTGGGCGACACAGTCTTTTATCTTTTTAATTCTTCAATAACTTCAAAGCTGGGCGTCGTTTGTTACTTTGAGTTCATTATATTTCATTGTCTTTTGAAAACTTTTGTAAGAAAATAAATCAAACAACTATGTGTAAAGGTATAAAGATTTCAACTTTCAGAACGTCATTTCTTAAAGCTTTTGTAAATATGTATGTAGCATTGTCATATTTGATAATTATTTGGTGAGTGCTAACCAAATTTGTCAGAGTTGTTTGTCTCGTTTTTATTCAAATAAACATGAGATGCAAATGAGGTGTATAGTTTCGAAGATAATATCAGTTTGAAAAAGTATGCCGGGATATGTTTGCATTATGATAGGTACCGGCAAACTGTTGGGCAAACTTCTTGCTGATGGAGATAATCTCAGTTATATAAATCTTGTCTATTCACAAATGCGATTGAAGCGACTGAAAACAAAAAGAATACAGAGCACACTTTTTCCTCCAACCAGACACTGAAATGAGAGCATAACTTAGTATGACTATTGCTAGCTAGAGCCCTACCTTGCATGAAGTGGTTTGGTCCTCTGAGTTCGGCAATTTTTACTCCAATAACAATCAGCACGTCTATGCACTGTCGCTGTGGTGAGGAAGGACATGCGCACAAAGGGTTACCTTTGGGTTTAACATAATGTCCTCGTCTGTAATCAAATCGATATCAAATTCTAGAACGTAATTGGTTTTCAGCACCAACTGGATAGCTAGCGTATCATGATTGTACTTCGACGATGTATCAAAGCAATAGTATTTACCTTTAAAGTTGGGTGTCGAAAGTAATCCGACATCGCTTTGTGATTGGTCCTGAGAACTGCCACCATTCTCTCAACCAATCAGACGCAAAACTAAAACCAATCACGAAATGGTCGTCCGCTTTTTTTTCCCGCCTTTTAGGCCGTTTGATTGCTTTTATTTTAAGTTCTCATTGACTCTTAAAGGTTTTCTCCTTTCGTCTGATTGGCCGCCTGGATAACTTTGGTTTTGGTTTCACGACTTTCCATTGCAAAGCGCTCTAAATAGCATGCTATGTGACAGTGACTATGTTTTCACTTATGAATACGTTTAACCAATGGGTATCTTGTCTCTGTAATTTTGTCCTAGTTTTGTTAAGTTGGTGATCGAATTTTGAGTCTACCAATCCTGCCTGCATGTAATCATTTAAGTGATGAAAAAAATCAGAATCTTGAAATACTTGCCAGGTAGCTGATCCCTTGGCATATCACGACGAAACTAATACGCTAGCTCCTTGCAATTCAGCAATGCACATCAGTAACAAAGCACACTTTCCGAGCTGATATCATGGCTTGCTGCATCTACAGGAAAAAATAACCAGGAATGCTTTAGTTTTCACTTGTGTTGAGGTTTAATATAAGTTGACTTCTTATTACTTAGGAAAACAAGCAAATGTGACAAGCATCATAACTCAACTGGGAGTGGTTGCATTTTACTAAAGGATGACCTATATCAGAGAAGCCGGAGAATATTCGATAAACATTCAATACTTTTTGATAGCAAATGCAGTAATGCTACGGTAGCAAACATAACTACGCCCCATATGTGGTATCTGGCCTCATAACTTGGTGAAAGGTGACTTAAAAAAATAAAAGAAATCCATTGGATACAAAGTTTGTTTACTCAAATAACAGCGACCCCGCCAGGATTTGAACCTGGAATCTCCAGATTCGTAGTCAGATGCCTTATCCGTTGGGCCAGGGGGCCTTTCTTAGACGTGGTCAAAGCGTGGAAAAGGCGTGAATTACACTCAAAAATGAAATCTATTCCGATCAAGAAACAACTCATTCATTAAACTCTTATTCCTTATGCTTCCGCTGTTGAAGTTGTTTGTATACAGGGCCTGAGAAATAAAATATTTATACTTGTCGTCCTGGTTGTTTCTCTTTCTTTTTCTACCAGATTTTCTCTTTAGTTTAATATTGCGAAATTCTAAGATAAACCCTGGATGTCTTTCCCGATGGAATATGTGAGAATAAATGTCTCCTTCATTTTCCTTTCATCATCCTCCATGATCACAGTGGTAGTATCTTAAACCAGTTTCCATGGTAGATGTGGGAAGATTTCCGTTGGGGGTTGTATTTCACCAAAGGATGACGTATATCGTATATTAGAGAGGCCGGAGCCTATCAGAATGGGAAAATATATAATTTGTTTGAAAAGCACGTGTAATAATGCTCCGCTACCAAATATGACTTGATTTCTAATCCAGGTCTCCACAATGCTCTGGGAACTTTTAACAAGTACGAGTGGTTTTAATTACATTTAAATACTGTACATAAAAGTTATGTGATGTGCGATTTTTTCTCTCAATGGTTAGTTTGTCATAAAGTTCAAATGGGGAGCTTACGGATTTGGAACTTTTAAACGTTTTGATTGCAAAGACACAAGCTCTGACATGTTTGGTGCTAGTAAACAATTTCTCTGTATTTCTGTTCTCGTCAACAAATTTATATCACTACAAAGAAGTATCTCTATTTTGCATTGCATTCATCGTCTACTTACACATCAATTTGCGCTCCCGATGTATGACCTTGTGTCATCAACGTGCAGCCCCCACCCTCACCCCCTAAGGGCGTGAAATTGTGCCTAATACAGGCGCCAATGCGACTAAATTTTTCACTTTAGCAACCAAATCCTGAAGATTAGTCGCCAAATTGGCGCCGCCGGATTAGATTGTTTCATCATAACCGTGCCAAGAGATATATTGAATTAAAAAGATTTGCAAAGATACAGATAAATCCGCGGCAAACTTCCTCGTTAATTTTGTTTCCAGTGGCAGCACATGCACCTCGATCGATAACTAAACACCATCTTGAATTTAGGTGAGCTTGAACGTTGTATGTCATCCATCCTAGTGTCCACTTTGTAGCACGTTAAAGATCCTTTCCCTAACTTAGGGCCTGTATACATGGAGGTGGGGGACCCCAGGTAGGTGAGGTAACCCGCCTAGGTGGGGTAACCCGCCTGTCCATACAATTTCTTATTTTATTTTGATCACGTTTACATGATAGGTGGGGTGACCCGCCTAGGCGGGTTGCCCGGTTTGCCAGGTAGGGTAACCCTGTCAGCCGGGGTGACAATTTGCCCTGTAAACGTGTCAAGGTGGGGTAACCCGCCTAGCCGGGGTCGCGTTCATGGTAAAAAGCTCAAAAGCGAAACATGTATGTTTTAAAACTTTGTACATTTCTTAGCTGTCTCATGACAGAAATCACCAGAAACCGCAACGGACACACAAGGAGTGTAAAATGTTCACATTTCGCAATATTTAGCGTTGTAAATCGACCATAATTGGTTTCCCAAACTATTCTGTATAACGTATTAAGTCAAGGGTTTCTCGCAAAACCAAACACCGCGTAACACAACTCGTGACGCTTTCATAAATAAATACATGTGTCCGAGAATTAATCTTTCGTCTTTTTCGAGATGCGAGCTTGGGACGCCTCTACTCAAACTCCTTAATTGCAAGCGCAACAACAACCTCAAGAAACCTCACCCCAGCACCCCGGGGTTGTAAGATTGCATGTAAACGCGTTTTATTTTTCGACCACAGCTAGGCGGGTTACCTCACCTACCTGGGTTCCCCTACCTCCATGTGAACAGGCCCTTAATTTTGGAGGGTCTATCTAAAAAGCTGACAGCGTAACAAAAGGTTTTGTTTGTCTTTGAAAAAGGCGACCAACTTTTTTTGAATTGGCTACCACTTTGAAGAATTTAGGAGCCAAGTGGCTATCTGAAAAAAATTAATTTCACGCCCTGCAGTTAGGACGGAAACGCCGAAGAAGGTGTCGATTAAAAAATGAATTTATGTTGTAGTTAGAATTTTGCAAGACTGGATGTGTTTACCGTCCCTTACCGCATTGAGTTCCAAATGGAAACTGAAATCATTTGCCACATCGGTTCTGTTCTCAGACCATGCAAACTTTGGTTATTTCTCTTTGTGGTCATACAGAGGACGGCTTAGAAATGTACAAAGTTCTAAAATGCACGCGCTAAGCTATTGTTTTGCCCGTTTAATTTTTTGTATTGCCACGTCCTCGTAGCCCTCTTAGTTTGCTTGAGGTTCCTAAATACACTATAAGTTTATTAGGTAACTTAACGTATCAATTAACAGTTAAACCATAAAACTTTTGGGAATTTGTATTGTTATTCAGGTTTGATTTTTTTTTAAATTGAAGAGGTAGCTATGTGTTAAATCAAAACTCCGTAAAAATCTACACACGAACGGAAAATATTTTTTCAAAGAGATTTATCACTACTCGGAGGGAAAAATTTGAATTTTTTGTGACTCAGGTCGTTGAAAATATTGTACAATAAGAACAACAACTCGTATGAAACTGTGGCGGTGAAGCTGATGACATTATATATTGGAGACATTATGTACTGGAGAATTTCGCATGTTATCGTATCGTGATACAGTTTAGATATTGAACGTTTGGAAATTATTATTTTTACTCTGGTTCAATTTCAGTAAGAAGCAAGAGATTACAAACTATTTATAATCTCCTAGTAAATAGATATTGCAAATATATTCAACTTTTTGTCGATAGACGTCTTGCCCAAACGCCATCTTTTCCAGGACGAGAAGAGATTTAACCCTTTACCCAAAAATTATCGCCAAGAAACTGCACCGATAGCTCACGGGTACCTTTGTCAGTTGCCTTGATCGCCAAAATTTTCCAGAACTCCGAGTGATCCGAGCTCTGGTGAATCACGCCTTTTACAACCTGCGGTGCTTCTTGCCAGGATCTACTGCATTCAATGCACCGTTCCCTTGCGTAAACAAATAACTCAAAAGATTCTATTCCAAATGCAAGATTTTCATCACTCCAGTCTCTCCGTCCTGTCAGCTCTCTCAGAAACATGAGATTTGAACCAAAAATCTTAAGAGCGCTTGTCTGTAAAAATCAGACAAATTCTAAATTTCGCGGCAAGAGTGAAAAATTCGATTTCTTTCTTATTTTAATATTAGATAGGCTAGACTATAACTAAAATCACTGGATACTTTTTTTGGCAAAATATCTTTTTATTTCAGAGAAAATACAAATAACAAAATTCCGTTAAAATCGACATTTTTAGAAGCAAATTATTGCACAAGTTTGAGGGCTTCGCATTCAAAAATGAGTCACAATCTCGTCTTTTTAACTCTCAAATCTTCTTTTTCAACCTCATAAGACCTCACAAAACGATTTTTGTATACACTGCGTTCCTCTTTGCGTGTAAAATAATTTAATTTCGAAAGCATACATTTCTCTTCAGTAAAAGTACTTTGTGAGCAAAGTTAATTTTCAGCATGTGCTAAACTTTCAAATGGATTAAGCTTTGGGCGATATAATAACGAAAAGATGTTCTAAATATTACTGTAAAATTTCTTTGGGCAAATGATTGAGAGCGATACGAAAGCTTTTCAAAGTCCGTTAAAATGCAGTCATTTGACCTTTCGCGGTCAACATTCCAGTCGCGAGTCACACACATACTTTAATATAATTCCTTCCTTCATAACCACTGATAGTACTGCGACATGCCAATGCCCGCAAGGAGATGTAATGTAGTACGACCAACTTCTGAGGGTTGGCTTTAGAACACTCGCTGACCGAGACTTATCTTCTGGTTTTTCTTTTTCATTCGGTAATCCGATCAACTAATTGTTGCGTTAGTATCTTGTGTACCTTAAGGATTCTCTTTTCTTCACTTGTTGCGTTAATCATTTGCTCAGTTTTGCTATTGTCTGTTATTGGTTTGTTATCTTAGAACCTTTCATTCGATAAATAAGTCAATTTCTCGTGAGCTTTTAGGATTATCTTCTAATTTATTGTTAGGTTAGTGTCTTGCCCACTTTCAGGATTCTCTTTAATTCAAAAGTTACTTTATTGTCATGCGCATTTCAGCATTGTCTTCGATTGGATTGCTACTTTAGTATCTTTCACACTTTTATGCTGCTTTTATTATCGATTGCTGTATTGTTATCACGGGCACTTTAAGTTAAGAATTTGTTCATGTTTAGCGTGCCTATATCGAATTATAGATGTACGCGGGAAGTTTGGAGGGCACGAAAAATGCGTAAGAGTAGCTCGAGGCGCAGCCGAGAGCCACTTTAGGTTTTTGAGTGCTCTCCAAACTTCCCAAGTGCACCCATAACTCGATATACGTACAGCTAAAAGCATGAGCAAATTCTTTTATAACAGAGCGACAACAAGGATCTACGTGAAGAAGCCTTTTATTGTCATAGCATGCAAAATTCTCACAACGCACAAAAAAAGTAAACAAACGTCCCTATTGGCTGGTTAAAAACACGCCACATTTTATTCTTTGGTTTGAGGGAGAACATTTGATCCAGTTAACCGATAACTGTGAATGAAAATTTGCGAAACGTGCAAATTGCGAGTTTTTTTCGGCTTTATTTTTGTTGCTTGTTGGATCAGGACCTAAAAGGTCAATGCCGATAGAAAAATTGGGCAGTTCTTCGCTGGTTTCTTCCATATTTCAAAGAGAAGGAAAACTGTACTGCAGCTTAACAGGACGGAAAGCTAGGTAAAAAATTGATCACGTCAACTTATCTACGCACGGGCGTGCGTAGATAATTAATATTTTGTTCATAGCGGCTTAACAGGACTTATATAGGGCAAGCACGCGCGTTATGTTATAATTTCTCTTTCTCTCAATTGTTTGGTTGGTATCTCGCAGACTAAAAGCTTTTCTTTCAATCGATTACTACCCTGGTATCCTGGACACTTTTAGGATTCTCTTTTTTTCGGATTGTTACGTTAGTACCATAACCGCTTTTAGAATTCTATTTTGTAGATTATTACGTTAGTACTTCGCGCACTTAAAGAATTCTCTTTCGTTAGATTATTGCGTGAGTACCTCGCGCACTTTAAGAATTCTCCTTCATTGGACTGTTACGTTAGCATCTCGCTCACCTTAAGAATTCTCTTTTATTGGATTTTGTCACAGCACCTCGTGCACTTTTAGGATTTTCTTTCATTTAATTTTAACGTTAATATCTTACACACTTTTAGGATTTTCTTTCATCGGATTGTTACGTTAGTATCACGCGCTCTTTAAAGATTCTTTATCATTTGATTGTTGCATTTGTATCTTGTGCCGTTTAAGGATTCCCTTTCATTCACTACTGCTTCGTGCCCTTTTGCGCTTTTGATTGTTTGGTTCGTGTTTTGCCCACTTTCGGGATATTCCTTCATTGGAAAGTTACGTTAGTGTCTCGCGCATTTTTAGGATTTTCTGAGATTGGATTATGTTAGTAGCTAATTTTTTAGCTTCTATCTCTGTTTTCTCTTTAAGTTTCTCTTTCAGTTGATTGTTACTTCGGTATCTCAGGCAGTTTTAGGATGTTCTTTGATTGCACTGTTACGACAGCATCTCCGCGCATTACCTATCTCGTAACTGTCTCGCGCAGTCTTAGGACCGCCTTACATTCGATTGTTACGTTAGTCTCTCCTTTAGCTTAGTATACTAGTGTTTTCATCCATTGTTTCGTTAGTATCTAGTGCCGTTCTATTTCTAGTCTTTTGTGCCCTCTTAGGATTTTAATCAAAGATCACAGGTAAGAGACTCGTTGATTCTGATGTTTAAAATGACAATGATTTAATTTCCTACACAGCAGGAAACGAATGACATGACCAAGACAACCTCTTTTTTACGCTGTCATCGTTCTAGAAATTAAGTAGGGGAAAAGATCTTTAACGTGCTACAAAATGGACACTAGGATGGATGATATGCAACGTTTAAGCTCACCTAAATCAAAGATGGCGTCTAGTTATCGACCGAGATGCATGTGCTGCATTTTGGAAACAAACTTAACGAGGAAGTTTGCCGCGGATTTGTCTTTGCAAATCTTTTTAATTCACTAGATCTCTTGGTAAGGGTATGATGAAACATTCTAGTCGCCAATTTGGCGACTAATTTTCAGGATTTGGTCGCCAAAGTGAAAAATTTAGTCGCATTGGCGCCTGTATTGGGCGCAATTTCACGTCCTGATTATACGATTTTTTGTTAAGGACAATTGACAAAACAGAATTTACGTGAAGACGGTTCTTATCTTATCTTATCTTATCTTATCGACGGAAAGCAGTTTTCACATCTTAAAAAGAAAAGCAACTTACGCTTCCACGTCCTCGAACAATCCAAGTTTACCCGGAAATATTTCAGACATGAGTACAATTACATATTCCAGGCCCGCCTTGCTGAATCGTTCTTCTAACTTCTGCGGATAAAATTAAAAGATGAAAGGATTCATGAAATCTGCTTTATGAGCTCTTTGGAAAAGATGATAACATGAATAATAACCGTCACAAGCAAAATATCCCTGAACTAGGGGTGTCCCCTCAATGACGGCATCAAATACAAGGGTTTTAATCAAAGTTTGTGTCCCTCAAGTAGAGAAAACGTTTAAATAAGGATGCCCAAAAAATAGAGATTCCTCTGCATAGACGAAAATATCCCAAACATTACATCGTAAGAAAACTGGAGAATTTAAATTTAAATTTGCAGCCTTCCCCAAAGTTAATTGCATCAGAAAAACTTATATTTAGATGCGAGAATGACTTGATTTTATCCACAGAGAGAGTTTAAGTCAAGTCTTAAAGTGCATTTCGATAGTGTGCCGTAATACCAAAAACATAGTAGTCACCAGCAGATGTCCAATCACTACGTTGGAAAATATAATCAAAACCCGATGGGAACTAAAATTAAAAGGTACAGTGAGAGCAACATTATTGTCCGAGTCACGATTGGTATTTGCCTTGCACCTGATTGGTTGAGAGGGTAGCTTGGATTGTTCACGTCAGTCAACCCATGACATGGCGAACTGATTGCCGATTACTTTCAACACACAACTAAAGGTTTAATTTTGAATCACACAAAGTAGAACTCCGTTCAAAAAGTATATTTACTCATAAAATTTTCACATTTTAGCTGTATGCAATACCTCTAGCACTTTGGACTTCCTTGCCTTCCTAATGTACTCAGAATGAGTCCAAATTTCTTAGCTCTTGATGCTGTAGTTATGGCGTCTTTCCTCGCTTGAAACATGGCATCAATATCGTAATATTCCCTGGAAAACACTTTGCTATAGGGATCGTATCTGCGATGAAAGCGAAAGTGCAGTAGAATTTTAGTACAAAGTTGTGTGTCTCAAAGGCCCAGAGAGGTATACAATATCTAACAATCCAAAGCGTACAAGGCGGTAGGGGGTCAGTTTTAGTGAGGGCATAAGGAAAACACTGGAAAAGACGGGAATCGCACTCTGTCCACACAGACAGTATGCCTTTACTAGAGACAAACAATTTTTTAATAGAAAAAGTGATGAATTTTTATTCACAGAATTACACGAAAGAGGTCTGAAAAAATCAGGCTTCAATGATGGCTCAATCTGCTGCCTCTCTAGCTGTTGAGCACTGCAACCAATTGAAATAATATGAAGCTACATGTTATGCAAGGCAAGGCTATTTGGTACACGTAAAGAAATCTGCCTTTTGAGGTTCTCTACGTGTATTATTTTAGTCAAAGTGGGCACCATTGTTGCTAGGCAACATCACTAAACAATAAATATGCCATGGACACAGCAGGAAGAGTTGGTGCAGTTTTCTTAAATTCATAATAAACTAAATTACATAATTATTTCATTGTTTTGCTTAATAATTTTCTTACATGAATGCATCCTTGTGTTTTATTCTAGGAGCAGTGCAGCCCAGAATCTCTCCAGGTGACAATGGTTTACACTGCAGAATCTCTACCTGATAATCTTTACACAGGTCTTGATATACAGCCTGGGTAAACAACAAATTAAATACATATATGTCAAAATTATTTGAAAGTATGAACACAATAAAAGGAGACACTGGGTCCAAACCACAGGGTTTAAGTCTCAGCCAAGTCAGTGTTGCATTCTCTCTCCCCTCTCTCTAGCTTGGAGAGAAATGGGTACCAGTGAGTTGTCATGGAAACTTGACAAAATGCCTGATAGAGAACCATGTGAGATGCTCCTCCCATCCAGAAGAAGCAGTCAGTCATCCGACTGTCGACCCACTGTCAACCAATATATTGGTTAAGTATCGACCAACTCTCTACCAATATATTCAGTCGAGAGTACTGTACCTACAATAAACATGATCCCGATACTGTCCTATCAGTGTAATCATTTAATACATACTTGAAGTGTTGTCACAAACTGGATTGTGCTCAAAAGTGCAAGTGACTTTCCAGCTTCAAAATTGTGTCTGACTGTATTGAAAAAATGTGCGGCATCCAGCTTTATGTCCACAAATACATATAACATCTTGATTCTTTTAGTTGAGTCAATAGGAACTATAGAACAATGAACAAATAATGAACCTTTTCACATTCTCTTACCTACAGTACTGTATATATGGTTACTTATTGTTTAGGGTCTTTCAATTTTGCATCAATAGAAGAGACCAAAAGTTGCAAATATAATGAGTCGAATTTCATGAGGGATATTTTGTACCAAAACAACTCAGTCTAATAAAGTGTCATTTTCAGTCTTCATAACCATATTTGATAAAAAGAAAGTGCTAACTTGCAACCAACTATCTTCATGGTCATTCGTAGTTAAGTAATAAAGCTTTATTTGAACTTGCTTATTGTTTAGCACACCAGTGCTAGTTTGAGTGAATATATACATAAATAAGTCACAATTAAAAAAAAGAAAAAAAAAAAGGAAAAAATTGATTCATCAGTTCATGGTTTTATTATGAATCAACATAATGACCAGCTCCCAGTTGGTTTGTTAGCTCATTAATGGTAGACCACTGCATTGCATGGTGTTGCAGAGGTCATGGGTTCAAATCCAGCACAGGCTTGAATTTTTTTAATACATTCATAGCCACTGATTGCACTATTGTTTGCATCAAAATACCATGCTACTGACATTGAACTGTTGTGTTGCTCAAGCATCAAAGTTATAAAGCAAGGATTCCTCAAAAAAAAAATCATTCAAAACTTAGACATATCTACCAGCAGAGAACAGAAAGCAAGGGCAATAAAAACACAGGGCAACTTGAGAGAACTATGAAGTATAAGGTGAGACAAAGGGGACTTCAAAAGGTGAAACTGGGAGGTTAGAAGAAAAAGATCAAGGCTGAAAGGATTCAGTTGTGGTATAATATGAGTTTACATTATGATGAAGAAGATTAAGTGATGTCTATCAACATTTTTTTTCTCTTACTCAAGCAGCTGTAGCCATAGTGAACCATAAGATCACAACCAGGTCATCAACACAGCAAGCACCATACGTGACATCCCCCATGATGACTGTATCACAACCTATGAATTTAACACAAAAGTCCCACTGAGTACAATGGCAGTCACCCAGTGCTGAAAACCTGAGCCACTTTCTGTATGAATTTTTTTGAGGTGATGGGCAAAAAAGTATGCATGTGCAGATTATCTTACAGTTGTAATCCTTCAGAATCCATCATAGATCATATAATTATTATATGATAATAATAAATTAATAAAGGGGGTAAGTTTGTAAAGAAACTGTGGTGCTGAATTGGTGGTGGAGTATAACAGGATAATTTAGTATTATTAACTGAGTTAATAGTGTAAATTGGCCACCATAAAGAGTTTCAAAGCTGAAGTTTCAAGTGTTAGTCCTTTGCTCTGACAAAGGGCTAACACTCAAAATGTCAGCTTTGAAATTATATGATAAGCTGAATTATGCACACATTTTGAATGGTTTTTACTTAATATGAGCTATTGTGGGACAGATGCATACAATTTAGTTGATGTCACTATTGACAACATTTTGCTTTGTTACCACATAAAACAAATAGATTAGACTGTATTGCTGTGGGTTTGTACAGTAATAGATTGCGGAAGACGTCAAAATGCGGTAAGACCATCAGTGACACACTGTCGCTGAACAGATACACGGCAATATGGAATCTTTTTGTTAATTCACAAATGCCTGGCATACTTAAGCAAGCTGTCAGTAGGTAAACAGCTGGCTTGCAGTCCATTCAAAGTGATATAATTATCAATTGCTACTTTTTACAATCCTTCCAACATATGAAATGTATCAAATAATTTATGTGTACAAATAACAAACATAAGAAAAGTTTGGTAGGAATTGGTTTGAAATACCTTTCTAAAATGTCTGCTGTCCTTCAGGAAACTGTAATGCCACTGATGATTGAAAAAAAAAAAAAACAGAACATGAAACTGACATTGATTTATGCCTATTGTGGTTGAAGATGACATCATATTTTTTAATTTTTTTTTCATGACAACATTTGAAGGCCAAGGTCTGCATACAAGATCAAATGATAAAGGGACTAAAGCTTATCATGATTTCTATAGCATGTATTGATTAGGAGTTCGTGGAGAGCAACTTACAATAACTTAACTGTTTCAAGACCCCTTGCGTTGAAACTATTCTATACTAAGAGTTCTCACAAATAGGCAAGCAAACATGTCCGGCCGAACCATGGACTACTACTAACAAGCTCTCCAGTATAATATATAGATTTAGCCAAGCCTAAAAGCGGAGCTCGCATTTTTTTCCCCGCAGGTCTCAAGGGCACAACGCCTTGCCCCGGCCAGGACTAGAACCTGGGTCGTCTGACTCGGAGCCCAGTGCACTGACCACTGGACTACTGAACAAAGCCTGGTATTGGCGTCCCCGCGATCACAGTTGACCACGCATGTTAAAAGTAGCACCTTGTACGGTCGTACGATCGTACATCAAATTTTTTTCGGCTTGATGGGTTACTACTATTTTGTAATATATAGATTTAGCCAAGCCTAAAAGCGGAGCTCGCATTTTTTTTTCCGCACGTCTCAAGGGCACAACGCCTTGCCCTGGCCAGGACTAGAACCTGGGTCGTCCGACTCGGAGCTCAGGCTGAACACTGGACTACTGGACAAAGCCGTGGTGTTAGCGTGCCCGCGGTACAGTTGACAACTTTCACAAAACGAACGAACGAGGCTAAGCGAGAGTGAGTTTGTTTATTATATACGAACTGAGATTTTCTTGAAATTCAAAGTGATTTATCAAGTCGCTTTTACAAGTATCCACTTAGGTTTGAAAGCTAATTCTATGGAACTAACAAAAAAAGTGCCTTACAAGTTAAATCAAGGCTGGAAATGGTGAAATTAAATACTGAAATGAATTAACTAAGCTTACAGCATGACAGTTTATTAGCAACGAATTAATTTTCGTAAGTATTCATTCAAAAATATCCTAAAGAAAAAGGAGGAAAAGCTTGACAAAAATAAGTACTTAGCTTTTCAACGAAGCTGACTCTTTCTATGTCAAAGGTGGACTCATGTAGTGTCTTCGTCGTCTGAAGAGTCAAATATGCATGTTATTCCTCTATAAGTTTGTTGTTTATGTGCTTCTGTTGAAGACGAGGACGACTTGATGTTGAAATTTCTTCCGTAAAGCACAGCACCCTCGAATAGCCCTGCTGCTGTCGGCGTTTGACTTTGTTGTTACGTTGTTTCGACAAGAGTGTGTTTCAGTTTGAACTATTGAAGTCGGGCCACTCAATATTCTTGACATACTTTTCCATTGTTTTTTTTTTGAAAGATGACTGTAGTTGTAAGTACTCTTTACATTTTTGTGTCCTGATAACTGCATTATATATGATTAGAAGGAATACCCTTATCATTCAATGTTTGAATCATTCGTTTTCACGCACTGTGGTTCGTAAGGTGAGAGTAGTCAAGACCGTCTTTTTCAGCTATTGTTTTCATGAGACTGTTAAGTTTGTTAACTCCCATTGCATTGGCTTTGAACCAACTTTTAATTAACACCCGATAAAGGGGTGCATTTGGTTTGTTCTGGACTGTGGTCTCTTTTCAGAATAGATTTGAACTAAACAACAGCATCTCGTTCGTGCGGTAAATCTGGAGTCGCGAAAGCTTTAGGTTTGATAGGTCGGACTATACGTGAATCAGCTTCACTTCTGGTTTTAGTTTGTCTTTCAGTGACCTATGAGAGCGTGCAAACTATCTCAATTATTTTATAACCGTTTGTAGTTTTGTCTTGGATCATGCAAATCACATCTGCTAGAAAACAAAAAGTTCACGAGGACATTGTGATGAAAATCAAACCATTCCAAAGGGATGGACCTTAGGTTCCCTGATAAGAGGAAATAAATGTTTCATTTTTGCATGCTCAAATCCATCTGAAGTTGAAAAAGGGTGATGTGCAAAACCGAAATAGATTCACTGCGGAGTAAACTACGGATTGGTTTTTTCATATCAGTCTGAAAAGTTGATTATCGCGCACAGATAGCTTACCGTTCAAAGAAAGAAGTTTTGGTTCTACTGGTATCGATCTTGGGATGAAAATCTTCCAATGGGATAGACACAGAAGCCTGACGTTCCCTGTTAAAAGGAATGAAATAAGTTATTTTTACATGTTCAATTCCATCAGTGGTTATAAAAGAGTGATGTACAAATCTGAAATTCATTCGCTAGAGTTGGAACACTCACATCGTTTGAGGAAATGCTGATTCGCTCTCCATATCTCCCTCTCATTAATTCTCCCTTATTTTTTTCTCAGAGGGCACGGTAACATATCCTTCAATCTGATTGGTTCTTTGCGCGGTCCGTATCCGTTTTTCCCGACAGGCAGTATTTCTAAGCAAAGACGTCGGTCACTAACTCAAACCTATTACTAACTTATAAATCCTCTCTTTTATCTCTCTCAAATCACCTTGGTTGACAGAAAAATGTTGATTTCGAAATTAATTTGTATAAGCTAAAGTGCCATTAAATTGGTTGATAAGCGGCCTAAAACCTGTCTGTAATTAATTTCAATCCTTCACAAAAAATACTTAGAAAGTTAAAACGTGAGGTATTTGGTCAAAATTGAATTAATCGATGGAACCTTCATTCATTTAATATCCTAGTTCTCTCAAACAATTTGTTCATTGTAAAAGGACGAGCGAAGTTTTCAGTTCTACAACAAATATACGCATAAAATCCCCTTGTGTCTCGTTGAAGTATCTCATTCGAATTTAGATTTTGTGTGAAGGAAAGACCAGATTTACACACGCCATTGCAGTAAACAAACGAGCAAACTCTTACAACTTCAAATAAGAAAATTTGAATTTGCTTGCAATTATTTTCCTCGCCATTTACTTCATGAGCAGCAGTAAATC